AACTAGCTGGGTGTGGTGGTACATGCCTGTAGCCCTATCTACTTGGGGGGCTAACCTGGGGGAATCCCTTGAGCCTAGTAGTTCAAGGTTACAATGAGCCATGATCACACCACTGCATGCCAGCCTGGGCAACACAGTGAGACCCTATCTGTATAATTTTTTTTAATAGTAAGAATAAATATGGTGATATAAACATAGAGCCCTTAACAATTGGTTCCCTCTTCAATATGTATTCCTTCATGTTCAGTCTAGTCTTGATGTCCTTCACAACTCGGGTTTTTTTCCTTCTAAAATTTAACTGTGTCAATTACTTCACTGCTTAAAACTCTCCTCTGTTTTCTCTTTGCTTGAAGGATAAAGTCCAGTTTTGTGCCTGGCTTGCTGCCCACTTCATGATATAATCTGGTCTAGCTTAACCTCAGACTTCTGCAGGGTTCTGCTCCCCCTTTGAAGAGTTAGCCATTTCATTTTATACAATCCACCCCTAGTCGAAACACCCTTCTTCTCCTCCTTCTCCTTCTTCCTCTTCCTTCCTCCTTCCTCCTCCTCCTCCTCCTCCTTCTTCCTCTTTCTTCTTTCTTCTCCTCCTCCTCCAATTATAACACTTAACGCATTATTCCGTTTGTTGACTTCTATGTCTCTTTGGAATTACGTAAAGGTGGGATTTCTGCCTTCATGTATTTATAGTATTCGTCTTTTTAATGACCAGTGCCTGACACATGGTGTATCAAAAAATGCTTGTCCAATGATTGTGTTCTGTCCTCAGAGTCCTGCAAAATTATTATGCTCATTAAGTGTACAAGAATCTTTTCATAAAAGGTACTGTTTATAGTCAGATGCTAATGAAACATTTCTTATATTTTAAGTTGTTTGGAATATTGCATGTATACCAGTTAATTTTCTTTTCTTTCTTTTTTTTTTTTTTTTTTGAGATGGAGTCTCACTCTGTCGCACAGGCTGGAGTGCAGTGGCGTGCAACCTGCAACCTCCGCCTCCCGGGTTCAAGTGATTCCCCTGCCTCAGCCTCCTGAGTAGCTGGGATTACAGGCGCGCACCACCAATGCCTGGCTAATTTTTGTATTTTTTTTTTTTTTTTTTTTTTTGAGACGGAGTCTCGCTCTGTCGCCCGGGCTGGAGTGCAGTGGCCGGATCTCAGCTCACTGCAAGCTCCGCCTCCCGGGTTTACGCCGTTCTCCGGCCTCAGCCTCCCGAGTAGCTGGGACTACAGGCGCCCGCCACCTCGCCCGGCTAATTTTTTTGTATATTTAGTAGAGACGGGGTTTCACCGTGTTAGCCAGGATGGTCTCGATCTCCTGACCTCGTGATCCGCCTTCTCGGCCTCCCAAAGTGCTGGGATTACAGGCTTGAGCCGCCGCGCCCGGCCAATATTTGTATTTTTTTTTAGTAGAGACGGGGTTTTACCATCCAGACTGCGCCACTGTACTCCAGCCTGGGTGACAGAGTGAGACTGTCTCAAAACAACAATGACAACAACAAAAACCTTGCCAATTTTTCTAAACATTGGGTACAACAAAACTAGTAATTGAAATAAAGAAGCATAGATTGAGGAATATAGTCTAAGCAAGAATAAGTGAGTTATTTGGCTATTTATATGAAGATTTGAACATAGTGGTTTACAATTTCCATTAAATACTCTGGATAGCAAACAGTCTTATTGTTTTGTGTGATTAATACAGTATCTCTGAGTGAACATGCGATTTGCATTGGAGAAAGAACACAAGTTTAAAAGAACAAGCATATTATTAGGCTTACTGAATAGTAAGCAGCATATTCAGGCAGATGATAAAATATTACATTTAAATTGTGAAAAGTAAAAATTATGAATTTTATCACAGCACTTGGCCTTAAATGAATCAAAATCAACATAAATAGAATAAAAAAACTTTATATACGAAGTGTAAAGAAATTTAGATGTGACAAATTTTACTTAAAGTTGCCATCAATAAACTGGAATTACCTCTTGGATGAGGAACAAGGCAGTTTTTTGGGAGATTTTGTCTATGGCAAACACGTTTATAGAACTTCTAAAGGGAAGCATTAATAGTGATGTTGCTTGAGCTTATCTTCAGCTGCAGAAGCTAAGCTCTTTGCTCTCAAAATATATGGTCCACATAATACTGTACAAAATATTTGGCACTAAAATAATGTCGCTTTCCACTTAAATTACCTTAAACAGGAAATACTTTTATCTCTTCTCATATCAAAATATTTGGCACTAAAATCATGTAGCTTTCCACTTAAATTACCTTAAACAGAAAATACTTTTATCTCATATCATATGCCCTTTTGACTACATAGATACGTATCTGTAGGAAACTATTTCTGAATTTTCTAAAATGCGAATCTAAGAGACTTGTAGCCTGTTTATCTATAGACAATGTGGTCGACATTAATCTGCTTTAAAAAATAAGTGAAGAGACACACCATGTTTCTGCATGAAAATTCTTAATATTATAAAAGTTTTCCATAATATTTTACTATTTATAACTTGAATTCTCAGTGTGTTATGGCCTTGCATGGGCTCTTCCTTTTAGATCTATCATTGTTATAGAATGTAGCCACAGGTTTGCTGGCTAGACTTTCTAAAACTGACTTCCAAGTGCTTTAGAGGACATTGATTGGATTTGCCCCTTTTTATACATCTAGGATAGAGCTCTTCTGTTTTTTTCTATCCTTAGGCATTTACAAGTGACAGGGCTTTTGTTAAGGTGGGTATTTCAAGAGCAGCTAATATTGAAAGGCATATTAATGAAATGTTTCTAGAGAAAATTGAACCATAAGCATTGCTCAAGTGAAACATTTGGAATTGTTTTTAGCATAGAGATGCTTATTTGCTTTATTGTTTTTATCAGTTGTAAGTTTCTAGGAGTTACTAGGAAATGTAATTAACGGTATATGAACAAGAGTAGTATGCTTCAAGAGGGAAGCTTGACTAGAAGAATGCAACAGGTGGAAGTTGTCTTTTGAAAGAACAGTTTACCATATCAATTATTGGATATAGCAGAATGAGGAAAAGATGTTTATGACATTGGAAAATTGTAGTGTGATGGGAGAATCTGAAGATTTTATTTTTGCCATATTTGTGTAGCTTTTTGAGTATTTTCTTGGCTAAGAACATTTTACTCAATTGTAAGAATTGCAGATCTAAAGGATTTTAAAAAACAGGTTCTTAGTAATACCAGGCAAAACTCTGTACTCTTTTGACAGACCTCTGCCAGCCACCAGAAAGAGTTAATGCATCTTCAAATAGTTCACAGTGAATAGCAGCGACTTCTCACTGGGAAGGTCAGAGCACTTAACAGCTTGCTCTGTTTTATAGAGGAATTAGCTGCTACTGGTGAGTTAGCTTTTCTCTGAGAGTCAGTTATCCACTGGAGAGCTGCCAAACTTTTAAAGACATCAGCTACTTCTTAGTGTCCCAAATCTCAAAAACTGTATATCGGTGTATTGTAGAGGGGCCAGAAATAGCTCCATTCTCTTAAAAAAAAAATGTTTATAATGAGACTAGCACTTCAAGGAATTTAACGGAATAATTTTGCTACTCCTCTGCTCATACTGTGGACAACTAAAGTAGATTTAAAAAACCTTTTTGTTTTAGAATAAGTTCAGACTTACAGAAACATTGAAAGAATAATATAAAAACTCTTACTCCCTTGATTCACATTTTATATTTATTAACATTTTTACAAAATTTGCCTTATAATTCTCTCAGAATCTAGTTCTCCTTGTTACTGTAATTTTTTTTGAACAATTTAAAAATAAGTTGCAGACATGCTGCTGCACTGCCCCCTTAATGCTTCGTTGGATTTTTCCTGAAAACAAGGACACCGTTAGATAACCACCGTGCTGCCATAAAAATTGGGAAATAAATACCAAACTGTTGTTATCATTTAATCCACAGACCCCATTCAGATTTCACCAGTGATCTCAGTAATACCCCTTTAGGCCTAGGATCTGTATCTAATCCATATGTTTATGTTTAAGTCTCTCCTAATCTGGAGTTTTCCTAATCTTTTCTACTCTCTCATTACCTTGACATTTTTGAAGAGCACCAGTTATTTTTGAACAGGCATTTTTAGGATATTTCTCATTTTGGGTTTGGCTAATGTTTTCTCATAGTTAGATACAAATTATGCGTTTTTGGGAGGAATATCACAGAAGTGTGTTCCTATCAGTGCATTTTAGCAGGAGGCATGAGATGTCAATTTGTCCCATTACTGGTGATACTAACTTTTATCACTTGATTAAGATGGTGTCTTCCAAGTTTCTCTAATGTAAGATGAAGAAGAATTTTTCACTTGTCAATTAATAATAAGGATTCTGTGGGGAGATGCTTTTTATGAAACATTTTACCCATTAGTGTCCATTGATGATTCTTGCCCAAATCCATTATTACTATGATGGTTGTGAAATGGTTTTGTTTTTTCTTAAGGCGGAGTCTCACTGTTACCCAGGCTGGAGTGCAGTGGTGCAATCATGGCTCATTGCAGCCTCAGCCTCCTCGGGCTCAGGTGATCCTCCCACCTCAACCTCCTGAGTAGCTGGGACTACAGGCGTACACCACTACAACTGCTTAATTTTTGTATTTTTTATAGAGTTAGGGTTTCACCATGTTGTCCAGGTTAGTCTTGAACTCCTGAGCTTAAGTGATCTGCCTGCCTTGGCCTCTCAAAGTGCTGGGATTACAGGTGTGAGCCACTGCACCCAGCCTGAAATGGTAGTTTTTGATTCCACCATTCCTTCTTCATGAACTAGTTGGCATTTGTGTTAGTCCGTTTTCATACTCCTATGAAGAAATACCCGAGACTGGGTAATTTATAAAGAAAAAAAGGTTTAATGGACTTACAGTTCCATATGGCTGGGGAGGCCTCATAATCATGGGTAACGGAAGGTAGGAGCGAAGGCACATCTTACATGGTGGCAGGCAAGAGAGCATGTGCAGGGGAAGTGCCCTTTAAAAAATCATCAGATCTTGTGAGACTTATTCCCTATCATGAGAACAGCATGGGAAAACCTGCCCCCATGATTCAATTGCCTCCCATGACACATGGGGATTATGGGAGCTACAATTCAACATGAGATTTGGGTGGGGACACAGTCAAATGATATCACCATTGTATATAAAATAGAACTTTATTTTCTTGTCTGTTTGTTTATATCAGTGTGGATTCATGGATTCTTATTTTGGTTAGTGGGCTATAACCAGTCACTGTCATTATTTCCCAGAGTTTGCCAGTGGCAACTCTTTTACACTGACTTCTATATCTTTTTCCCATACTGTAGTTATTCTTTGAGCACTTTTGGGACAAAAATGGATTTCAGACTTATTTTATACTTACCTAGCTTGTCAGTCAGCCATTTTTTCAAGAAACTCCAGATTCTTTTAGTAGAGAATGGTATTTAGAAACCCACACCAGGATACTTGGTATATTCGTTGCCACTTGCTGTCATAGCTTCTAGGCTCTGTCAGTGGACAGACATATGAAATCTATGTATGTTTATGCATACAGATTTACTATATCTAGAAACAACGTGATGTCCTTGTGTTAAAGATTGTTGCTTGCCTTAGCATTTCAGTATCTAATATTTACAGTTTGTAAAGATTAAATTAAAAACCTTGTTATAGAGTTCTTTATTACTGAAGTTTTCCTTTCAAGTTATCATGACTGAATCATATTATATTTCTCTTACAAAGATGTTTTAATTATATCACTGATATCAAAGTGGTTTTTTTTAGTTGTAATTATGGTTTTTTTCTTTTTTCTTTTCTTTTTTTTTTTTTTGATACAGAATCCTTCCTCTGTCACCCAGGCTGGAGTGCAGTGGTGTGATCTTGGCTCACTGTAACCTCTGCCTCCCGGGTTCAAGTGATTCTCCTGCCTCAGCCTCCCAAGTAGCTGGGATTACAGGTGCCCGTCACCATGCCCAGCTGATTTTTGTATTTTTAGCAGAGACAGGGTCTTGCCACGTTGTACAGGCTAGTCTCGAATGCCTGACCTCAGGTGACTTGCCTGCCTTGGCCTCCCAAAGTGCTGGGATTACAGTCATGAGCCACCACACCAGGCCTGTAATTGTGTATGTTTTAATTGAACTTTTAAACTTTCCTCCTCTTAATATGAAAGCAACCATTTTTAGGTCTGTGAAACTCTCAGAACTTTTTTGTTTTACAGATTTTGAAATACGCAACTTAAATTATTTTTATAGGTTGAATCTGTGTTATTAATATTTCATCTTATATACAAAATATTTTTAGTTATCTGAAGCTTTTTATTTATTTTGTTAACTTTTAGGTTTGGGGGTACATGTGAAGGTTTGTTACATAGGTAAACACATGTCACAGGAATTTGTTGTATGTATTATTTTATCACCCAGGTATTAAGCCCAGAACACAATAGTGATCTTTTCTGGTCCTCTCCCTCCTCCCACCCTCCACCCTCAAGTAGACTTCACTGTCTGTTGTTTCCTTCTTTGTGTTCCTAAGTTCTTATCATTTAGCTCTTACTTGTAAGTGAGAACATGTGGTATTTGGTTTTCTGTTCCTGTGTTAGTTTGCTAAGGATAATAGCCTCCAGCACCACCCATGTTCTGGCAAAAGTCATGATCTCATTCTTTTTTATGGCTGCATAGTATTCTGTGGTATATATGTACCACACTTTTAAAATCCAATCTGTCATTGATGGGCATTTAAGTTGATTCCATGTCTTTGCTGTTGTGAATAGTGTGCTATGAACATTCGCCTGCATATGTCTTTGTGGCAGAATGACTTACATTCCTCTGGATATATACCCAGTAATGGGATTGCTGAGTCGAATGGTAATTCTGCTTTTAGCTCTTTGAGGAATTGCTGTACATCTTTCCACAATAGTTGAGCCAATTTACACTCCCACCAACAGTGAATAAGTATTTCCTTTTCTCTGCAACCTCACCAGCATCAGTTATTTTTTGACTTTTTAATAATAGCAATTCTGACTGATGTGAGATGGTATCTCATTGTGGTTTTGATTTGCATTTCTCTAATGATCAGTGATGTTGAGCTTTTTTTCATATGCTTGTTGGCCACATGTATGTCTTCTTTTGAGAAGTGTCTGTTCATGTCCTTTGCCCACTTTTTAATGGGGTTGCTTTTTTTCTTGTATATTTGTTTAAGTTTCTTATAGATGCTGGATATTAGACCTTTGTCACATGCATAGTTTGCAAATATTTTTTTCCCATTCTGTAGGTTGTCTGTTTACTGTTGATAGTTTCTTTTGTGAAACTTTTAAATTTGCCATTTTCTTTTATTTATAGTATGAATCAATATAATATGGTATAAAATGAGTATTCTGTGTATTAGAATAGATGAATCAAGTATGTTAGGAAAGGTCTGTCTCTCTTGCAGGTAATTTATATAATGGGTTAAAGAGCATTCATTGCCTTTGTCTTTTACACATATGCTTTCCTATCTGTGTATAATAGGGAAAAGCATCTTGTATTTTCATTTCTTAACAAGGGACAGTAGATTGTTTTTATTTTATGACTTATACTCTCTTGTCTTGATACTTTGGGTAGATATATTAGATCAGAAATGGGAACAGATTGTACAAAGAATGTATGAGCCCTTAAAACACTCTACTTCCATACATACTTCGTGAGTGCTACATAGTAAGGCAGTATGGTTTGAAGAATGTTTTGGATAAATGGACAGGGCAGTTTCCTGTGTTTTCCACCGTGTGTGAGAGAATAAGGCTGAGGAATGCCACTGGCACCTGAGATGGATCTAATGAATGGGTGGCAGTCTGTGGGTCACCGTGGCGTGACAGAAAATGACTCATGCGTAGTAAATATTCAGTATTTATTGAATGGCATGGAATGGTGAGAGGTGAGGCAATAAATGTAAGTGAAGTAGAGTAGGCTCTTTTGTATTTTTTTTTTTTCTTTCAGTTATTTGCTCTAATCCCTATGAGAGGCACCATGCAAAGAACATAGGCACTGTGACAGACAGGCATGATTTTTAGTGCCGAAGCCACTTCTTGCTAGCTGCATGTCTTTTGCAGCCTGAGAAATCTTCAATCTCAGCTGACTCATTTATAAGATGAAGATGATAATACCTACCTTATGGTAAGGTTGTGAGGCTATAGAAAGTGCATCAGACACTTGAACATATTAGTTCCTTTCTTCTGCATCTTTACTTGTAAATAGTTATTCCGTTTAAGTATTAACTGTACATTCTAAATTGCTTTCTCTGTGCCATTTCATTTTAAACTAACAGTAGTTATAAATTCCCACACCTCCAGGTCAAACATTACCTTTTTATATTGCTGGGAGAGTGCTGGTTTTTCCCTCTTCATAGTCCCCAGTGCTTCTCTCCACCTGACCCATGATGTTTTATTTATTTGTGTGGTTGTTGACATTCCTGCGGTGTCATAGACATTCTTGTTTTGTCTGCTTAGAACCACAGTGAGCTACAGAAAACTGCCTCAGAACATGGAGTTTCAACTTACCTTTTAGTCATAGTCCCACAAGGTTCCTGGGGCCATAGAACATCTGGGCAGTTAATACATTTATCCCTTGGCTGAGGTGCTCGCCCCAGGGATGGGCCGCGTCAAGTGGAGCTTTTCCCTGGATATTTCACACTAGAGACCATTTTCTCCAGTCACAGAGATGGAAGGGCTCCAGTTTGATTTGTCTGTAAAGCCAACTCCACACTGCCTACTTCTGGTTACACAAGGAAAGTGAGTGAATTGGGTGTCTGTTACTTTTCACCAAAGAATGGACTTGGCCTGGAATCTTCCTCCACTTTCTCACTCCAGTTGCTAAGCTTTACTGATTTCTTTAGGCTCAGTTCAAGCAAATCTAATCCTTCTAAAATGTCCATTCTTAACCCTTAGACTGGAGTGAGGCTACTCCTTCCTTTCCTGGTTCCTCTCAATATTTCTTAATAGGTAACAAGCCGTTTTAAAATTTTTATGTGCACAAGTCGATGTCTTCTTTCATATCCTATTTCTAGAATATAAATTATCTGAATCTTTAGTACCAGTACAGATCCTGATACATTATAGATACTCAGTAAATGTTAATTCATTGAAAAGGCAATGATTTGCCTTTTGAATTCCAGGCAAATAGTTCCTTAGTAAAGATCTTTGGTAAGAAGAATGCAATATGAAATTATTTTTATTTACTTTCATCATTACAGTTGTTACCTAACTCTGATCCTTAGACCCACGGACCAAAGGTTGGGATCCTTAGTCCCAACAGACCAAACCAAAATGGAGTTACTCATGCTGAAGTTCCCAGGCACCAAGTAGAAATTAAGTTGTTTATTCAAGGAAGATGTCCTTATCTCAATTTTATAGATGTGAAAAGCTTTTGTACGACAGTTAGGTGTCATACTGAAGGTCACCTGACAGCTTTAGCAACAGAATTGAGATTAGAACAGGGGATTAAGATCATTTAGAAAGTTAAAAAAATAGTACAAAAGAGTTTCCTATAATCCTAGCACCCATATACTTGACAGGTTATGGAACCCGTTTTTCTCAAAGTTCTCAAGAATGAAAATTGCATAGAAACAAAGCCAAAACTCCGATTGCTCATAATGATAATTTGCATGTATAATTACTAGCTTATTTATATCAACTAGCTGATTACACCAGTTATAATTTCTAGATAATCTTCTATAATTGCTTGTTTAAAGGAATTTAGTACAGCTGTTGTAAAGCCCATTGATACCTCATTTCCCTTTTATTCTCCCTGGGACACCTCCAGAAATAGCTTAGTTTAAGCTTGCCAGGAGTGTTCATTCGCTGGGCACCCCTCAGGACTTGAGTTTAAGTCTAGCTTATTTTAAGCTGGACTTTGTTCACCTTGTCTTTCACTGAATGGGTATCAGCAAGGACATTCTCAGTTACAGTGGCAAGATTGTGGGTGGAGTGGCATGGGAGGGCAAATGTGAGCAAACACACTTAGGGATGGAGCTGCATTGACCATATGAAAAGGAAGGGGTGGCCGAGACGGGCGGATCACGAGGTCAGGAGCTCGAGACCATCCTGGCTAACCCGGTGAAACCCCGTCTCTACTAAAAAAAAAATACAAAAAACTAGCCGGGCGAGGTGGCGGGCGCCTGTAGTCCCAGCTACTCGGGAGGCTGAGGCCGGAGAATGGCGTAAACCCGGGAGGCGGAGCTTGCAGTGAGCTGAGATCCGGCCACTGCACTCCAGCCCCGGCGACAGAGCAAGACTCTGTCTCAAACAAAACAAAACAAAACAAACAAAAAAAAAGAGACAAAAGGAAGGGGTGGGTGGAGAGAGAGTGAAGTGCTGTGCCCGAAGAGCCCTATATACACATGATAAAGCCTTAAGGGAGCAACTGTTCATATCTACACAAATCAACGGGGATATAAAAGAATGGAAGATGCAAAACAGAAACAGCCATCTGCACATATAATAAACATTTGGGAAGTTGTGATTTCTCCATCTGTCCCCCGATGA